TTCACGTTGAGGTCGGAAACTTTTCAGACCACCCTCGTATGTGTCAAGTAATTGGAAAGCACCCATAGAATCTGTGCGTTTTCGTAAAAATAACGGGTCTAATAAATATCTGTTTTAGACCTCTTATTTGCCAGCCAAACAACGGAGGTCTGTAATCTATATACTTTGTATTTTTGTATCCATGATATGGGCGCTCTCAGGCCTTTCTGCTCACGTGCAGAAATAGAAATTTGTGTTATTTGATGTTTTACGTGAAATTTACAATAAAAGTGCTTTAAAGAAAAAATAGAAATATGCCTACTTACGAAATGCCACTGTTGATGCGTATTCTGAAAAAGGTATTCTACTATAGATATTATAGGTTATATTTTGTTGTAATATTGTAATATTACTTGTCGCATAATGTTCTAATTATAATAATTTATCCAATGGTTTCATTACACAAATAACACATAAGTTTCAATATATAAAATAAACTTATATTGCATAAATCAAGATTATCAAGAATTTATTATGTACTTTGTAGCCAGAATTGGTGACAACTTTAAAGAGAACAGCTGGAATAATATTTAACACAGGTGGTTTTATTAGAAAAATAGAGAATTGGGGAACAAAAGAATTACCATTCAAGATTTCTGCGCATGGACATGTTCATCGTCAAGCAAAGTAAGATCATATCATTAATAATGTTGATTGGAATACAAACTATTTTTATATTAAATCAGAGAACAAACTGAATAGATAAATTATCATTTTATGTCAATGTATTTCATCAAAATTAAAAAGTTATGCACATATTTTACATTTTCAGTCATTTTTGTATATACTTTGATGCACCTCCAAAGTTAATAGATCATATTTTGGATGAATACCACAGAGATATTGATATTGTTAGACTGCATATATATAAACAGTTCATACCAAGTGAGGTAGAATGTACGTTCCATGAGGAAATGTTACCACCGCCATATAGGTATGATTTCTTCAATTTTTCTTCAATGCTTTACAATGTAACTTATAATAATTTAATCAATGTCTTAATTAAATCTATAAACAGACCTAGCGTCCAGAAATTGATGAAAATGGCTAAGAAGCAGCATAGAAACAAACATGAATTTAAATCCAATAGTGGGCTGGATTATTATCCTTTTAATTAAATACATTTTTTTTATTCAATGTAGTATTGTATTTGTTTCAAAATGAAATATTTAAAAAAATCAGGAATGTATTATTAAAAAAATATTAACTCTATAGACACATAGCTTAGTAGCAGTATCTGGATTTAGAGTAAAAATGTAAGATTAGAAACATTTGAAAAGAATATGATACATGTACTTCATATTAATATTTCATATAAAAGTCACTTGTTGATGCATTATTTATTAACTCATACCACATTATACATTATGAAAAATTATATTTCTTCTAACCATCAATATATATTTGTACAAAATACTTAATATAATTATATATATCATTTATTATATATTTTATCATAATAATTATTATCTCACGTGCAACATAAAAATTTGTAAGACAATTTGGTTACACTGTAACTCAGAAGATGTTCCATTGCAGCAACTAGCTGGAGTTTGGTGGCTATTTGTTGTAGACTGACAGATTGGCATAATAGTCTTAATGCAATTAAGTTATTAGAATTGTTTAGATCCACGCATTATTATTTGTAGATTATGACATCACGAATCTCGTACCATTTCTTATCGAGAATTACACGATTTCAACATATGAACATAAAATCGAAACCATTATAATTAGAACTATTGTAACTAGAATTGCTTATGCAATCTTCAATCTTATATGTTGTAAGAAAATCGTGTAGTTTTCGATCTAAAAAGTAGTATAGCATACATAACGTCCGATTGTTGAGAAGCGAGAACAATTTGACAAAACAATTTCTTACTATGATAGTTTTGCGTTAATGTTTAGCAACAAATGTGTACGATTAAAAAATATTAGTAATCTAATTATCATGCGTAAATAAGTAGGGCCTATAAGAGTTGAGTGCTGGGAGGCATTTATTCAAACTTACAATTAGGAACAAAAATTGTGCGCTGGATGTAATTGTACTTTTATGAGAACCGCAGTCAAAAAATACAAACAAACTTAACAGGGCATCAAACAGGACTATTAATAAATTAGATGAAAATGAAGGAGGTTATGGACAGAATGGAAAGAGAGCTTTCGCAATTTACTAGACCGGGACACGAACTCGGAACCGTTATTCCGGGTTCGTGTCCCAGTCTAGTAAATTGCGAAAGCTCTCTTTCCATTCCGTCCATAACATCATTCATTTTCATCTAATTTATTAAGAATAGTGCCCTTGGATATGTTACGATACCCTGTTAAGTTTGTTTGTATTTTTTGACTGCGGTTCTCATAAAAGTACAATTACATCCAGCGCACAATTTTTGTTCCTAATTGTAAGTTTGAATAAATGCGCATTTCTTCCCAGCGCTCAGCTCTTATAGACCCTACTTATTTACGCATGATTGTGCATCTAAGAGCCTTTTAATTATTATTATTATGAATCCAGTTATATTGCGTATTAAGGCTATTATGTCGATCTGTGTGTTTTGATTTGTATTAATGGTGCGGCCGCATTCGCAAGATACCATGACACGCAGTTCATCGACTATTTCTCATCCTTTCATAGAATAAAGCAGTCTAATCATATTATTGACCATGTAAAACGATAAAAGTATCTTAAATATAATAGAGAAATATGACTGTTGTGAGTGTAGGCGCATGTTGAAACTATTAATGCACGTTGTCATACGATATATATACTTTGTAACATTTAACAAATGTGACAGCGGCTATCCAAGCTAGTGCTTCTCACATACATACATACATACACACACACACACACACACATACACACATACACGTTGTCTTTGTTCTTTTGTAACGTAAGAATGTTTTGCGTATTCCTGTCCTGAGAACTACGTAGTCGCAACATACATCGCAAATCGTTCGGTACAACGATTCAAGCGTTATACACTCGTTTGCACAACAAGATCCGAAGTGATAGTATACGAAATATCACAACTGTAACAGAGGAGATTCAGGAAAAGTGTAAATACTTTCATCTATTTATCTTTCATCTTTCTATTGGTACAATATAGATGATATACAATATACATGGTATGTATTAGATAAATAATATTAAGTGAGAATATTACTATTTACACTATATACTGTCATTCGATCTTCGTTGTAACCGATCATCACGCAAGCTTATGAGTAGTTTGCAATCGTGTCCATTTGATGCGCTCCTAATTTCATCGGAAAAAAAGAAACGTGTGCAAAAACTGTTGTGCAAACGAGTATACGTACATTACATATGTAAGAAGATGGCTCTCCCTCCTCGAGTGTGTAAACCAGGAAACGGTATACAAAACCTACGTAGATCTCTTTCGTAGGATACGCTGTTTTACTTTATCACACTTTGACGACAAGTATGACATCATCAACAACGTTTATTCCGAATCATTGCGTGAAGTAAAAGTGACGCAAGATACCGAGAACAAGTTAAATTAAATAGTTCATACTAGTTACACAACCTAAGTATAGTTTTATTCAAGTCGTTCTTTTAAGTTATCTCTTACGTCACTTCTCTATTTGAGAAAGTCTCGTGCCTTGTATCGTTTTGTCCCTTGTTGTGGCAAAGATGCCTTATATATCGTTCGTTATATCTTGGACCTCGATGAACATATATTATGCAATACGCTATACATACACATATATGTACGTATATATATTTCTAAAGTAGTTGTGTGGACACGGGAACAGAGGACAGATGAGAATAAAGCGATTTGCCACGGCGAAAGGATGCGGAGGAGGATGTTTACATGTGTCTGGTGTTTCCGAAATTGATGCCGCTCTGGTTGGCGCCCTTATTGCTGCCGTATTGTAGACTTATCACACCTTGACCGGCCCTCAGTTGTTCTTCCGTGAAATTGCGTACGTTCTTATCCGCTTCTTTAGGACCGATACTTGGTTTGCCGTAATTGCCCGCCTGAAAAAGTACAACGCGTTATCTTTCGAGAAGAAATAAAAACCTGATGAGAGAACAAATCGTCGACTCTTTTCTCAAGTCAAATGATCGATTGATTTTCTCTGAGGAAAGTTTGCTTGAATTTCTGCGAAATTTCCTAATATTATCTGTCATTGAATATCAATGACTGAAGTTGAAATTATAGCACAAATATTCTGCGCAATTGGACTGAAATTTCCGTTTTATATTTAATCGTTTACAGAAAGCATTTTCGTTCTTACTGTCATTCGTAACGATGACAGACACTATATTCAAATTAAAAAGACAAACAAGAAAGTAAATTGCAAATCGGCGAAGGATCACCCCCCGCATGAAATTCCGAGTCACCCGGTATAGTCGCGCTTACACAATAGCATCGTACCTTTCTTCCGAGAGATTGTAAGCAAATAACAACGGAATTCAGATTCTGCCTTTCCCAGAGGTCCACCGTCTGGAAGGTCTCTTGCGCCGGAACGCCCAGTGCCTTCGCAGCCTCCAGGAAGGCATTTATATTCTCCATGCATTTGAACGCCAACGACGTTTTGTTAATCTTCTTCACCGAGCCCTCTTTGATGTCGTTCACCAATCTAACGAAGAAACCGCGAGCAACGACGTGATTTTAGTTTACGAAAAGAATATCCACTCAGCCCGATGTTTTTTCATTTATTAAGTACCTGCACAGCATAGTGCCGTCCTTCAGGATCTCGTAGAAGTTGTCCATGTCGCCGTTCGTATTTATGTTTTCGCCGGTGATCGCTTTGATCCATTCCAGACATTCCTGAGCCAGTTCCTCGCTGTACTTGCTATTGATCTGCAACATAAGCCAATTTTGCGTTGCGTTACACGTTTTCACAATTGCCTTTCTGTAGAGCAAGACGCGACGACAACGACGACGATAACGACGATCGGCCGCGCTTCCGAGTTCTCGGCGGGGCTCGCTTTGGCCGGCCTCGGCTTTGGTGTTATGCGGAGAGCCGGTTATTAATTATGCGATGTGCCAGTGTAATGTACCAAGTAACGCATCCTGTAGGGGCTGCGACATGAGCATTACCGGAGTCACTGACCTAACTCGTTTCAACATCAGTTCGTTGTTCCTTCGGAACACGGGTTCTTCTTCTCACCGCCGTATACAATAATACAAACGCCGTCTTATTTTAGGGAATACGCAGAAAAATCCGGCGAAAGGGCCACGATCTTTTCACGGTACAGAACGATTATTATTATTGTCATTTGCAGTCGTTGCAAATTTTCTCGAAGTATTACGTACGTATAACATACGTTTATTAATATAATGTTTATTTTCGCGTATCTCTTTAATTGACGACGTGGATTTATAGTTGATATATTTGACTATTCGCCGGAAGATTGCAACGGAATTTCGATTCGATGGGAACGGAACACTCTGTATATAAAAGGGCAGACCGACCACTATGCGCTTCTATTCTGGCGAACGGTGACCTGCCTATACGCAGGATTGCCTAAAAAGGAAAGGTTTCCAAGGATGGACCGTCGGCATTCATCTTCCTGCAGCATGCATATTCCGTTAGATATACGGTGCCTCGTATCGTGATGCGCTTCGAGGGAATCAGTAATATAGAGGGTGTTCCGTGCATTTCACGTCTACGAATTTTCGACTTTCATGCTTCTTCGGAAGATTTTACGCTATTTTTATAAATTTATATATTTCGTCCAATGTCACTTTGAAACTTTATCTAAATTTACTTCTACGATTAAACAAAAAGTAAGATTTATTTGCACACACTGAAAAAAAAAATAATTGAGTTAATAAGATTTTGCTAAAACCAACAAAATTCTTTGAAGCAAGTGTTTAGTCAATTAACCAAATTATATAATTGCTGCGATAAGAGTTATCAATTGATTCAATAATTGCGACTTGGTCAGTAATTATATTAACGCAAGTTATTGTCGCTAATGCGACGTTCAATAGATACAATATTTCTTTGAAGAGACGTGTGTCGATTTTGCCGATTCAACAGCTTTTTTCTCAGTGCATTTCTGAAGTTTTTTGAAGATTTCTTGGTTTCTATTATTTGTATCTGAAGGAGTGTCGATTGTCTTGGTAATTTGAACATGGAAGAGATTGAAAAGTCAGGCTGATTAGAGAATTCGTGGAAAAAGTGGCACGGCAAGTGCGAGACATCATCCGCGCGCGAATATTGCATTTAATTTGCATATATGCGTTTAATTATAATAATATACTGTCTGACTCGGCATCTGGCATCCGCGCGAGAGTGTTTTTACGGAGGATACAGTTTCGGATATTCGGTGCGTCATTGTAAAGCAATTCCGATATGCCAGCTTGAAACTATTTCCGCGCCGTGTTTCCTCTGAAAACACTACAGTCCCATAAAGAGCGCAAATGATAGCACACCTAGTGTACAGATGTATCGCATACGCGCACGAGGAACACACGTTTCCTCGAGCGGTTTCCCTAATGTAGATTATCGCTCGAGTTAGTGGAATTGTGTAACACCAGTTTTCCCTATAAATGGCAATTGCAATGTCTCGACAAACAAGTAATCGCCGCGTCTCGACGAGAGCATCGACGAATTTGTGCACGAATTTTATCTTTCGTCATTTTACAACGGTAATAAATCGTTAAACGTGGACTTTGTCGCGCCGTATCGAATGCCGTACACAGATCACGAAGTCGGCACGGTGGACAATGTCGTGAGGCGAATCTCGCGCGAGAGCTATTCTCATGCTCACGGTATTCACTTTCACCTGAGAGACGTCACCAGGACCGTCGCGAATTAATCTGCATCCAACATGCTCGCTGAGAACTTCCTTATAGGTATACATTAAGCCATTTTGCAATTTCAACAGTTTCGCTGACAGTGAATCGGGAACCAAATAAGGACACTATGAGACGTTGAATATTGCTATCGTACATCAGTACGAGTGACGGGCAATACATCTTCAGCGTAATGAGAATTCCTCCTGACTATTCTAAACTTTATTCTGTCAAGCAAAAAATTGTTTGCAGCGATGCAGTCGTGGTAGCCCGTGATTTATCACTCGCGCGCGTAAATATGTGTGTGTGTGTGTGTGTGTGTTACTGAATTGGAATTTATAAATTAGTAGATTCATAATGTTTGCAAATGTTTGCAATTTATTTATTATTATTAAATATATTATCCTATAAAACGATTAAATTTAACAAATTAGATATATATATTTTTTTAATATAAAAATGAATCACTACGTGACGATATATGTAATATAAATCTATATGTATATATGATATATAATATGCAATTTCTAATAAAAATAAACGAAACAGGAGCTGCGAAAAATATTTCGCGATATAACGATGAATATTTTTGTTAATTGTGTATTAATTATGAAAATAATTAAATGGCAATTAGTGACGACAAAAAAAGAATCACGAAGAAATAGAAAAATTTTGTCCGTGAATTTCATCGAGAATGCCACACGCGACTTGATGCGTATGCGTGCGCGCTCGTTTACTCTCTTTGTTGCTTGTTGCGCATAATTGCACATTCCGCGACGATATCGGAGTGCTCCTTTTTAAAGAGTGCGACGCGATACCCCGCGGCCACCGTCACAATATGGAACGCGATTGCTTCTATATTTAGGCGTTAAGTAAGCGCACGATAATTTCATTAACGTGAAAAGAGTGACGAGGGCGAGGCATACGCGCGAAAGGCGCGTGACACTTTGGAACGCGAGCTTTTTCGTACGCGAAGCACGACGCGAAGCGGACACTGCGATAACGTGACATCAATTTCGTCGTCCTCCTCCTCCTGATAACGATTGCTCGGCCTTAAATAACTGACGATTAAATATTCCGTCACACAGACCGACGGGAATATTTCACGGTATATCGCACGAGGAAATATTAATAACGGAATAAATGATTCAGAACAAGACAAATTATGAAAAACATGAAACGATACGCACGTGTGACTTTAGATCTGGTTTCGTACTCTTCGGCGCTCTTCTGTTTCTTCGGCAAAAAAATTTTGCTTAACACAGCGACTTTCCGAGTTTATTGTTGAAACAAATGTTTTGAACATCACGGCAAGAACAAGCGCACAATGGCGATAACATTGGTACTTGACATGGTAAACTTTCTCGAAATGCATGAGCTGATATATCGACATTTCTTTGTATACATGATATCACCGGATTACCGTTTATCTTATCAATATTAAGAACAGACCGGGGATAATCGATGTTGTAATAAAACGTACTGCAAATTGTGATAAGTCATTATCAACGCGAATTCAAAGTGGTCAAGGTGAATCTACAATAATTTATTAGTAACTGCACAATGAGATACATCACCTGCATGTGTTGCTTTCATTTCAGCGCAGCAGTTTCCCGTTTCTTTTAATTCAATCGTGCTGCGATGTTAAAGTTTTGCGCCACTTTCTTTTTCATCAATATTTATTTTCTTCATTCTTATTTCTTCGTTATATTTGACTTCCTTTATTCTTTCTATGCGACACAAAAAAAACAAAGAGCCAAAGCGGACCTTTAAATGCAGAGGCGAACGAATACCTGCGAGGAAGTTCTTGAACCTAATAGACGATTTAATCTACGAGACACGACCAGTCTTTATCTGGTAAGACGAGGCGTTCTACAAATAATTCGATGCAATAACGCGATCGCAAGCAACGGTTATCGCGTATCGAGTTCCACGAGAAGAGAGTGTGTTGTGGCACGTAAGGACTCACGACGAAAGAAGAAGCGCAAGGGAATGGTGTGATACACGAAACTCTGCAGATACAACTTGGTATACATACCATTCCATCTTGAACCTGGAGCGCCCTCGAGCAGGCTCCTAAAGTAGAAAGGGCGTGGAGGGCCTCATTGTGCTTAAAATTATGTGAAGGTTCGTTCGCTGCGCGAACCGCATAAAACCCGCATAGATCGCGCCATATAGTGCGTTAACACGAAATTTATTTATATTCCGAGACATTCCGGGGGAGATCCGCGATTATTCGTTATTAACAAGCTGGGCGAGCTGAGCTCAAAGCCGTCTTTTTGGGAAATTCTTTTCTTTGCGCGATCGTCAATTTTGTATTCAAATTTTTCAGTGCTAGTATTCGATCGATCGACCAAGAGAAGCAGTCTTCGCAAAGAGTCAGCTTTTGCGACCTCTTAAAAAGAGGCTTCTAATCGTCGATGCCGCGTCGTCAGTTGAATATTTCGTGGTTTAAGTATTATCGCGGACGTTTGACATTTAATATGAATTTATGATTTTCTCTAAGAATGTACTCTAGAATACACTTGCAGAAGAAGACATGGTGATGGAAACTGTAGAATATGATGATTATCAAGTAAACTATTTTATAGTCATTGCAACTAAAGCTTTTGCTACAAGATGGTTTATTAAACTATACACTATTGTAATATTCTATTATACATAAAAAAATATAACTCGTATAGTTGCTTTTTGCTTTATAGTTGCTATTACCACGTTTCTTTCTGAGTTTATGAAAAATTACATGAAACGCGCGAAATCGTACAGTTGCCGAACGATTACGAAAAACGCGATTATTACGACTGTTGGAAGTCGCGAGAGGATTTATCAAGATTACGCACTGCCGCGCGATCATAGATTAGGTTTTTTCATGGGAAACGATGTATCGCGTGATTTACTAGATAATCCTCATCTGTTGATCGTACGTGAGCATTTCATGTGGATTAATAAATTCCACAAATCGATATCGTCCCGATTTTTTCACGTCTTTTGAGCATACGTGTTCGCGATAACGTGTATTTAGCGAGCGATAATTTATTCTTTAAAAAAAAGCGATTGAGTCGGCAATCCTCACGAATGATTGAGCGACGTGAAATATTCAAGAGCTCACAGTCCGATATGATATCTGGCTGGGTTAAATTTAAAAATTACAAAAATTAAAAAATTACAAATTTATGAAATTTATTACATTGAAGGAAGTATCCTGTGCTCTTTGTTGCCTGGTAAAATTACTGTCCCGTCTGCGGTCACAATGCGACCCGCAGTTTTTACAGAACGAGCGGAGAAGATGCTGAGAATGCTGTTACGCGGGAAAATTGATACGCCCGCTCGGCTGCCTCGAGCTGCGCCATAAAACTGATCCGAGCGTGTTAAGAGTGCGAAGGGGGCAAGTGTTCGTAATTAAAGCATTACCATACGTTTTAGTCCGCGCGCCCCTGTGCGCGCGGTGACACTGACGCTTGCGTGACAACACGTTCACACGTTCACGGTCGCGAGAACTGGGTCAGAGGCCTGCTGCCGTCGTCAATGAAGCGCAAACCAGATTGAACGAATTGCTCGACTATGTCACGACGAGCAGAGCCATTTTGTTTGTTGACTAGGGTGATCGTAATCTTACCAGATGCTTGATCACTAAACTGTTTAACATCGGAGTCTTGGCACCGACCCAGAGAAGACATTTTCGCCCCAGTGGTGGAAATAACATAAGAATACAGCAATATTAATATATCCTAAATATTAATATTTTATATATACCTCCTAATTTGTCTTAAATATAACCTAGACTAAATAATTTGGTATTATAAATTTATAATCAGTTATATTTCATTATATATTTATGAAAAATATTTATTATACCAAGTTAATGATTCGAGCGCTGAGAATGATACAGTATGGCGGAGTGACATGCAATAAAATAGCGCGTAACTGTTTATAATATGAGATATATCATGATGCAGCTTTTATTTAGCTGGATGCAACGTGGAACACTTGTATCGACTTGGTCCTTCGAGAATGCTAATAGTTGACTGGTCTCGTCATGTTAATGCAACGTGTTTCAGGCCGAGGATCAGCTCCCTAAAGGAAGTTCGCGATCGTGTTTAACGATTGTCCTTAAAAGGTGTACACTCGTTACGAGCGATTGAACTTCTCGCGAATCGACGCGACACGCGTTACTGGCAAAATCGTTGACCTACTTTGTGAGCCCGATCAATTGCATAATCCTTGCGCGATTTATCCGTACATACACGTTTTACGGCGGGCTTTTAAACGCGTGTTGCGCGCGAAGGTTGCCCGGTTGCTCTTGGCCGTATAAGGACCTCTAAACGAGAAGAGAGCGGCCACATTGAAGCAGCGCTCACGCAGTGCGTTGAAATATAATATGACAAAAAACTATCCACTACAATGAATCTTCAATTTATCATCATAAAAAAGCGAAAATTATAATTAAAATTATACTTTAAATAATATTTTTCTGTAATCGCTTTCATAATAAAAATCACGTACATTTGGATTTCTTCTAAGATTCCGACTTCGGTATATCTTTGGTTTCTGTTTTCTTATCTTCAGGCTACCTTGAATTCACGTAAATCGAAACGTGCATTGAGAGAAAAAAAATATCTAAGAAATAAGAAATATTTATTCCACGGTGGATATTCTAATATAACATATTTATTTATATTGCTATAAAATACTTCTCAAATAAGAAAACACGTTTTCTTAATCTAACTTTTTCACGAAAGCAATTGTTTATTCCAATGAAATGAAAGAATTTAGATCTAAGTAAATATGTGCAGCATATGGCAACAATACCAGTCGCGAAAAAATATTTCTTATGTCTTAGATATCTTTTCTTTCTTTTTATAGACAATCAATTAAACTTCATCGATGGATCAAGACCGTTAAACTACGGTCTTAAAACTGTTTAGTAATCCGTTAAATCATCTTACGTCTTGATGTAATAAAAGCGAACAAGGCACCGGGATCTCAGATGAGCGCAAGGTGATCATCATTAGCTAACTATCCCGTTGAACCTGTAAATAGTTTCAGATCTTACAAGTCGTGGTGCGCCTTCTTACGCGTTATCTCTCCTGGGATCGTAGATCGCGAACTTGCTCGTTAGAATTATTCCGAATTGTTCAGCACAGACTGAATACACATCTCGGACACGTTGCGGTTTTGCAAGCCACCAGCCGCCAAGTGCGAAACGTTGAGCGATCATTGTCGGATCATAATTCTTGCCCGCATAAGAAGCTTCAAACAAGACTAAGCCCGCATCGTCAGCGTGTTGTTTTCGAGAATTTCGCCGGCATAGGAAGCGATGGCCGACCAAGTGGATGTATTCAATAGTTAATAAACAGATGCGATATTATCAGCCGGAAAACGCTCTGGCTCGTAGTTAATAATGCGTAATTGAAAGCCACGATACTACAATTCGACGTCGAAGTCACGCGAACCGGGCTCGATTACTCAACCGTCGACGCTGTTATTGATTCTCGCCCGTGCGTATGTGTGTGTGCATACACAAGTTTCCGTACAGCCTGGCCATTTAAGAACTTGAATACATATTGGGATATTCATCACGGTA